AAAAAAAAAAAAAAAAAGTTGACGCAATGTATTAACCATTACAGCAGGTCATCCTATCTCTGTTGTAACTACTAAACTATGTCCATAGTAGGCTGAAAGCTAACATGTAAATTAGTATGTGTGCCTGTGTTCCAGTGAAACTTCAATAAAACTTTGCTGACTCCTCGGCTAAACTATCTGCATTTAAATTATTACTACTTACTAGGTATGTAGCGTAGGGGAAGCTATTTTACCTTTTGTGTATGTAGAGCAGTATATTAATATATATCAAGATGGTATTCTGAGGATTAAATGAGTTAGAAAAATGCTTAAAATAATGCCTGCACACAGTGCATGTATAAGTCTTAATTTTAAAAAATGTCAGTACCACCTAGTTGTAGAAATAGGCTTAAGTTCTATGTTATTTTCTTTCATGGAGTATTTCTTTGAAACTTTCCGTGAAAGTATAATGAATAATAATACATTTTTTTTTTTTTTTTTTTTTTTTTTTTTGCGGAACCGGGGATTGAACTCAGATCCTTACGTTTGCCGGTCAAGCGCTTATCCTACTGAGCCATCTCCCCGGCCCGATTTTTTTTATTTGTTAATTCCTCTATTTTTGTTTGAATCTTATGAATTATTCATTCTTTTGATTAAACTATAGCTAATAAATATGAAATGTTGCTGTTGTATTTTACATTTATTATTTGTGTTATTATTAATCATTCTACATCTCGAGGAAAGCTAATTGATTTTTCTCTGTGTTGATCAGATTAGTAGTTAAAGAGGGTAGGTACAGTTTGTTATGCAATATTCTTTAATGAATCTCCTGGTATTTCTCATCCACTCAAAAGTATTAACATATTTTTGGCATGTGCAGTGTTTCCAAGACCTAATGGTATAGAACTTAACATTATGGGAAATATCAGTTTGACTGTTACTTGAAAATCTGGAATAGATACTAATTAACCTAATATTGGAAGTTAGTTCTGTTATATGCTTGTTTATCCCAGAGTGCTTTTAAAGGACAGCAATATTTAAGTCATGCTGTTAAAACTGAGAGGGTGCTCAGTGGGAGAATGTTTGCTCAGCATGTGTGAGGCCTTGGATTTGATCCTAGTACCTCAAACAAACTATAAATATATTTATATAGACTGAATTAGAAAGACTGTCTGTTAGATGAATGTGTGGAATTCTGAAGGCTGGCTTCTTTGAATTCCTCTGAGCAGCTAAACATGTTCTCCAGATTGAATGTAGAAAGCCTAGGTTTAAGTTAGTATTCATTTTAGCATAGTGTGTATTTCTAGGCACTTATTAAAATGCTATTTTGAGTTATTAAAAAATGTGCTATGGGCTGGGGTGATGGCTCAGTGGAATATGCGCTTCCCTGGCAAGCGCAAGGGCCTGAGTTAAATTCCCGTTTCCGCCCCCCCCCAAAAAAAGTGTGCTATATTTTAGAAAATTTGAAGCTAAATCATAACTTCTACTCTATTTGCTTTTCCCCATGCATGTAAAAATTTTGCCAAATAATACTTTATAGGTAATTTACTAAATCTATTTTTGTAAGAATGGGTATCCCCATTCATTTGTTTATTTAGCAATCAAATACAAATTGAGAACTTGCTAGGTATAAGACATGCATGAATAATAGACATGTTCGCTGCCTTTTTGGAACATATATTCCAGGGGTGTGTGTGTGTTAGATTAAAAACAGCTTTCAAGTAGAAAACTATGTATTTTTAAAGTCCTACAGAGAATATAAAACAGGTGGTGGAAGAAGAGGAGTCCTTTACTAACTAGGATGGCCAGAGGCAGTAAAAAGATTACATTTGAATAAGCTCTTGTTGCAATAAGCTCTGAATATGAAGATCTGGGAAGAAGAATGTTAAGTTTAGGGAATGTTAAATGGGAAGGTAGGACTATAGGGCTTGTCTTGCATGTTTGAAGGTAGAAGGAAGGGGAATAGTACAGTACAGGACACAACAGTCACCCAAAGAATCGTATACAAGAAGAGATTGCAGGAAATCTATCCACACACTAAAGATGAAGGAATACAACTGAAGACCCAGATTCCATGATAATGTCCTGCTTGAGTCCAGCTGAAGATTGTGAGTTCATAACATAGATATACAAGTGAATATATAATTATACATTCAGTGGTATGAAGTAAAAATACAGTGTAGTGTAGAAGAGAATAGTAAGAATCTAATTGGGGGATCTTGTTCTTAACTAATAGGAGTATGAGGTCTGGACAGAGTTTCCATGTCCAGATCATGCAAGGCTTTATCAACTAAGCTGTGGACAATAGTTTTAATACAGTGAATGTTATATACAATTTGGACCTCTGAAAATAGTCAAGGTACCTTTTTTATAATTGTGATAAAACAACATAAAATTAACTATTTAAAAAATACAATTTGTAGTATTAAGTAACTTTGCAGTATTGTATAACCAGTAGCACTATCTAGTTCTAGTTCTAGCTTCTCGTCACTCCAAGTTGAAACCCTGTGTCCATGAAATAATCACATTCTGCTTCCTTTCAGCCTTTTTTTGTGGGGCAAGGATTTACAGGGGCAAGGATTGGAGGAGATAGGAGCTAGTTACAGGCTTTTCATACCAATACAGATAAAAGATACCAGTTGTTTGGTTTAAAATGGTGGCAGAAACAGGGCCGGCCAGATAGCTCAATGGACTAAAGTGCCTGCTTAGGCAAGTGCTAGGGGACTGGGGTCTGATCACCATGCCGTGCTGCCCCAAGCCCCCACCTCTCTGGGGTGCGCTGAGCTGGCAAATGAGACTGGGCGTTGTGACGCATACCTGTAATCCCAGCTCTTGGGAAGCTGAAAACAGGAGGCTCACTATGAGTGATTGTGCAGTGAGACACTATAGACCCTGTACTAAATACATTAAAAAACAAAACGAAACAAAACACCTAAAATGGTGGCAGAAAGAGTAAAACTAGATTTGTATATGGTGACAATTTTGTCAATTTACTGACTTCAAAGATTAGTAGAGCAAACTTGGTGTGTCTGGGTGGGTCATGGAGGTGTGACCCTGACCTTGGTGTCTTTCTCTGGACCCTGCCTCTTGCGCTCTTTCCCTACTCTGCTTCCCAGCCTCCATAAAGTCGGCACTGTTGTTCTGCTGTGCTATTCTGCCCCGTGTTCAGCTGTGCTGTTTTGCCATGATGCTTCTTCCTTGAAGCCAGCCAACCATGGACTGAAACAGCCAAAGTAAATCTCTGGTCCTTTAAGTTGAGGGTGATAGGTTCCTGGTGCAGCAGAGAAACAGGCAGAAGGAAGAACGGAAAGGAGCTTTATTTCCTTTGAGGACTCAGGGGAGAATGTGGGGAAGGATGAGGAATTTTCTCTCTTGATTGGAACAAAGGCAGGCTGAGGCTTTCATGGCCTTTTGCCAGGGGTGGAGTTTGGAGATGACATTTAGATATACCTGAGGAGCTGACTGGGGGTCTTCCCTGAGGGGACGAAGAGGGTGGAAGTAAATTATGTCCTGGGATAAGTTGGAGAAGAAGGGGCAGGTGGTCTTGGGAAGATGGGCTTTTGTTTTAAGGGCATTGGCCATATTAGTTGACCATAATAATTTTAGTAATCCATACTAGGGCCAGAACCTATCAGAGGGTAGTGTATATTTCCTCTAGTGAGTTTTTTTTAAAAGCTGATCAATACATGTATGTTTTCTTCTTAAAAAATATTTTCTTCTAATACGATTTTTTACCCAGTGTGAGTCTTTATAAATTTATAAAACTAACATAAGCTGTTTTGTTTTCCTAGGTGTTCTTCAGATGATGCAGACAAGAATTGGGGCTTTGCAGGGAGCTGTTGATAGGTACAGTTGCTCATTATTTTAATGGTGATATTTCTACCCATGATATTTTGAAAATCATTTTATTCTTGCTCTTCTTTTTTTCTCTTTTAGGATGAAAGCAAAAATTGTCGAGCCATATAATAAAATAGTAGCCCGTACTGCCCAACTAGCAAGACTTCAGGTAGGTTCTGATTTTTATTTTTTATACTTTATTATTCTTGCTCTTTTTATAAGTGGGCAGATGTTAAGGGTATGAGTATAAAATAAGCAAGTGAATGGGAATATTAGAAGAAGGTGGCAAAATAATAAAAAGCCTTAAAATAAGGTATCTAGTCAAAATCTGTATAGCCAAACTACATGCACTCTTTTGAACCATCATTATTGCTGTGTATAGTGACTTACTATCTTGTGTCCCAATTTCTTTTACTAGTTTTTTGTAGTTTTCAGTGCAAATATCTTTTGCCTACTTGGTTAAATTTATTGTTAAGTCTTTTATTTATTTTTTCCTACCTATTAGAAACAGGATTATTTTCATTATTATAAAAATGCCACTGATTTTTGTATGTTAACTTTTGTATTTTACAGCTTAAGTTTGTTTTAGTTCTGTTTTTTGGTGTGGAATATTTAGGGTTTTCTACATAGCAGATCATGTTGTTTGCAAATAAAGACAATTTTAGTTTTTTCTTTTCCATGTAGATGCCTTTCTCTTGCCTAATATCTTTGGCCAGTAGGACTTTGAGTAGTATGCTGAATAGATGTGGTAATAGTGAGCATCCTTGCCTTGTTCCTAATGTTAGAGCAAAAGCTTTAGTGCATCAGAATTGACTGTGATGTTAGTTGTGGAATTGTTGTTTATGACCTTTATTATGTTGAGGTATATTCCTTCTACAGCTAATTTGTTGACAGTTTTTATCATAAGGGGATTTTGAATTTTGCCTAACGCCCTTTTCTGTGTCTATTAAAATAATGGAATGGTTTTGTCTTTCATTTGGTTCATGGGGTGCATGATTTTGATTTGTGTATGTCAAACCATCATGCATTCTCATGCCAGGGATAAATTATACTTCATGATGATAAGGATGCTATTGCCTCTACAAACCAAGGATAGGAACAGAGATCAAACACTTAACCTTTACTAGCCAGTTCTACTTGGAATGACCCATTGCTTTAGTAGCATTAACACTTAGTATTTTACCATCTGCTGAGTAAACACCTGATTTCTTCTCTCTGTCTTTATCTGGTCTCTCTCTGGTCGGTCGGTCTCTCCCCCTCTCCCTCCCCCTCCCCTCCCCTCCCCTTCCCCTCCCCTTCCCCT